CTCTCTCTCTCTCTCTCTCTCTCTCTCTCTCTCTCTCTCTCTCTCTCACACACACACACACACACACACACACACACACACACACACCTTGTACTTTTAAACAAGACATAGTAGTCTTGGAAGTAGACTTTCTGGGTGGGCCAAAGAGAAAAATTAACTTGTACAACTTAGGTAAAAAGGTAATTTCCATTTGGAGAGAAAAGCTGGCCTCCTACTCATGGTTCTACAATCTCATCCTTTCAAATGCTGGGTTTATAGGCATATGCTGCTATACCCAGCACAACAGAACCTTCAAAACTGTCTCCTAAGCCAGCTGTACAAATTTATGTTCTCATTAGTACGAGTTTCAGAATGCCCTTTCCCTAGTCCCTAACATCAGGGAACATCCAACCATTGTTTTTTTTTAAAATTATTTGGAGATTAGGTCTCTTGTAGCTCAGGCTAGCCTCAAAGACCTGATCCTCTTGACTCCATCAAGCATGTGACACATGTCTGGCTAGTTTAAAATTTTTTATAAAGTATCTTATTTAAATTTTTCTTTCCTTGGTGAGTTTGATAGCTGACAGGGTCTTACTATGTAGCTCTGACTGGCCTTGAACTAGCATAGATTCTCAAGTACATCGTACATGAACTTCACCAAGCTTGTCTCTTACACCGCCTCTGACGCCTGCCTGGTCACATCTGTTATCATTTTTTTCTAGGCTCTGTTACTCTTTTTTTTTTTAAAGATTTATTTATATTATTATATATGAATACACTGTAGCTATCTTCAGACACACCAGAAGAGGGCATCAGATCTCATTACAGATGGTTGTGAGCCACCATGTGGTTGCTGGGATTTGAACTCAGGACCTCTGGAAGTGCAGTCAGTGCTCTTAACCACTGAGCCATCTCTCCAGCCCGGCTCTGTTACTCTTGACTGTACTTCTGGCTTTGAATCTCTCCTCTCATGCCTGGTCAATCCCCTCCATAGGCGGGGTTACCAAACACAGATCCAACCACTAACAACTCCATGTTGCACAAACCCAGCTAACCCTTAGGTATGCCGCACTAATTGTAGTTACAGTGCAAGGGCAGCAACATCCCCTCTACCAGCAGTACTTTGCTGAGTCCTTACTGGGTGCTGTGCTAAGTACCCAGGTTATGACTCACTTTTGCAACAGTAGCCAGTAGACCGCCCATACTGAGTCTAGTCACCCATCCATAGGAATTTCAGCCCCGCCCACCTCTGCTCCTCAGCAGGCTTCCTAACTGCAGACATCCTCAGTCTCCACCACCCTGCTCTGCCTGGGACCTCTGTTGTTTGTTGCTCTAATGATAGCTAATCCTCCCCCCACCAAAAAAAGAGCCAGCCCAACCTGGTATCAGATTTGGAAATGATCTTAAGGAACATCTAGTTTTACCAACTCAGGTTGCAGTTCTTATTAGTGGGTCAAAACCAGGCTTGACTTTATTTTTTAGGATTTCTGAGACAAAGTCTAGCTATGTAGCATTGCCTTAAACCTGTGTTCTTTCTGCATCTACCTCCCAACCATTGGAATTACAGACATGAGCCATCATACATGACATCCCAGTACTTTGAGAGCTGAGGCAGGAGGACTGTTGCCAGTTTGAGCCCAACCTACATTACACAGACTTAGACTCTCTTTCATGCATACGTACATGCATGCATATGCACACACACAACACATACCAATCAAGAGTCAGTAATAGAATATATAGCTATTGTTTCAGGTAGACAGTTTAGTTTTGTTATGTTTTTCGAGACAGGCAGGGTTTCTCTGTGTAGCCCTGGCTGTCGTGGAACTTGCTCTGTAGACCAGGCTGTCTTTGAAATCAGGGATACCTCTGTCTCTAGAGTGCTGGAATTAAAGGCATGTGCCATCACTGCCTGGTGAGCTGTTTTTTTGTTTTTTTTTTTTTTAAGGCAGACACAGTTTTGTGAAGGCTGTGTGTAGAACTAGGGTACCAAAATAGTGCAGTTTATACTGGGAATAAGGAGGAAGACACCAAACCATGCTCCATGCAAGAAGCCAAGGGTTCTTTCTTTCTGGTTCAGTTTGCCTTTTTAAAAAAAAATTACATTCCAAATATTTCCCTCTTCCTGGTCCCCTCTCCCAGAGTTCTTGACCCCATCGCCCCTCCCCTTTGTCTGAGAGGGTGCGCTTCCAGTATTCTATTTCTAAAACCTTTATTATATCAGTCTTGTTGAATTGCTTTTGTTTCTTTTTTGTTTGTTTGTTTTTGTTTTTCGAGACAGGGTTTCTCTGTGTAGCTCTGGCTGTCCTGGAACTCACTCTGTAGACCAGGCTGGCCTCGAACTCAGAAATCCTCCTGCCTCTGCCTCTCAAGTGCTGGGATTAAAGGCGTGTGCCACCACCGCTTGGCTTGATTTTTTTTTTTTTAAAAAAAAGGTCTATTTGTTATGTATACACTGTGCTCTGTCTGCATGTACACCTGCAGGCCAGAAGAGGGCATTGGATCCCATTACAGATGGTTGTGAGCCACCATGTGGTTGCTGGGAATTGAACTCAGGACCTCTGGAAGAACAGCCAGTACTCTTAACATCTGAGCCATCTCACTGCCCATTTTTGATTTTTTAAAAAAGATTTATTTTTATTTCATGTGAACAGGTGTTTTGCTATATGTTTATCTATGCACCACTTGTGGTGTGCTTGGTGCCTGCAGGGAGCAGGAGAGGTTCCCAAAAGGTTCCAGAACTGGAGTTACAGATAGTTGTGTGCTGCCCTACGTGTTCTGGGAATTGGACACAGGTCTCCAGTGAGAGCCAACAAGTGTTCTTAATCCCTGAGCCACCTCTTCAGCCCCTGCTTTTGATTAACATAATTTGTTCTTTGAGAATTTCATACATGTATACAATATATTTTGATCACATCTACCCCCCCCTCCACCTTCCTGAGTTTTCTACCAACACATCTTCCTCTCCAGTTCAAGTCCTCTTTATTTAATTTTACTGTATGTGCAATGTGCAGCAGGGGTGTGTGAGAGGACCACTCTTGGGAGTTGGTTCTCTCCTTCCACCAAATAGGTTCCCGGGATTGAACTCAAGTTGTCAGGCTTGGCAGTAAGTACCCTTACCAGCTGAGCCATCTCCTCAGCCTGCTCCCTGCCTTAAAACATAACCCATCAAGCCTCCTGTGGTGCCATGCACTGGAACATGGCTAACTTACCAGCTGCCATTGCCCCAAAGGGGGAAAAATCCTTCCTTGTCCAGGAGCCATCAACTTCCAATAAATCCTCAGCTAGCAGGGAGCCTTACGAACTCCTTCCCCACCGATGCTAAACTTTTGTGGGTGCAACACAGCCACTGTGAGTTCCCCGGCTTGAGTCCAGAAGACAGCATTCCACAGCACCCCCATCTGCCTGCTCTCATACTTTTCTGACCCCACTTCTTTGATGTTCCCTGAGCATTGGGTGGCAGGAGCTTTTGTTTTTTTGAGACATGGTCTTATATAGCCCAAGCTGGCTTAAAACTTGTTACATACCGAGGGTAACCTTAAATTCCTGATCATCCTGCTCCCTAACGCCCAAAAGCTGGTATTACAGGCATGTGCTATTAGGCCAGCTTGCCAATTTGAAAGGAAGGCTTCCTTTGGTAGTACTCAAGAGGTTGAGGCAAGAGATTGTCTGAAGGCCACCTAGGCAAAAGAATTGTCTCAAAATTTAGGCTAATCTGGGCTACACAATGAGTTTCAGGTCAGCCTAGCAGGGCTTTGTCTCACCACCCTGCCCCACCCACCAAGGGAGGGCAGGGAGACTAACAAAGCAAAATCATTTCCTTCTGTCACCTCAGGTGGGCTCCTGCCTCCTGTTCATTCAATATAAAGTACCTATTTTTAGCAGGAAGGTCCCAAGAACTCCTGAGAAGGGTGACTTGTGCTAGCTCTAGGCTGTTTTCTTGGAATTCAACTGGATTCTGCAAGCACTTACTGGGTATCTACTACATACAAACTCTAGGTTGAGGACTGAGAGCGGGGACTTTGATGGTGATGGGGAGGGCAGGAGTGGAGTTCTAATGAGATGCACAGTGTTATCTAGGTGGAAATAGGCTATACCCAAGTAGAAAGAGCAAGCTATGAGAATCTAGAGGAAGAGGCAATTAATCATGGTCTAGGTTTAAAGACACAGAATAGAGCAGATGAGATGGCTGAAGGGGGTGGAGCTTTGCCATCAAACCTGATGACTCAAGTCCAACACACACACACACACACAAACACACACACGCACACACACACATGAGCACACGCGCACACACACACACTCATTGAACAGGAGGGACTGGGGATATAAATCAGTATGTAACAGAGTGTTCACCTAGCACACACAAACCTCTCATAGGTAGAACCCCAGTACTGGAGAAGAGAAAGCAGGAGTTCAAGGCCACCAAGGTCAGTTAGGGATACAAAAGAACCTATTAAAAGGGGTAGGGATGTACAGAAAACTATTCAAGTGGAAATCTCTGTGCTGGGTTGGGTGAGAAGGTGAGAGGGTGAGAGGTAGTAGGTGATACAACACCTACTACTTCTGCTTTTTGGAGTGACTCTGAGAACATTTTACTCACCATGACTGTCTCTAAAATCCAAGTCAGATATTCCTCTTTTTTTTTTTTTTTTTTTTTGCTGTTGTTGAATAGGTCTCATGACAGGATATATAAACCCAACACTCTAGGCTTTCTTCCTCCTCTGAGCACTAAAACTTTATCTGTCTTTCAAGGCCAAGGCCAGTGTCCCAGTTTTATCTGGGTAAAATACAAGTGCATACAGGCAAAGTTACCTTAGGGCTACAGGCGACAGATGCGGCTCAGGGGTGGCGAGTTTGCTTGTCTAGCAAGTGCAAGGCCCTAGGTTCAAGCTCTAGCACTGCAAAATAAATTCAAAAAATAGGAGCAAAGCCAACTATGGTGGGGGTGTGCCAGTAATTCTAGCACACAAGAGTCGGACGAAGGAAAATAAAATCAGATGTTCAAGGTCGGCCTTGGCTACAAAGTAACTTCAAGTCTAGCTTGGATTGCATGAAATTCAGTCTCAAAAGCAAAACAGGATCAGAGAGGTGATGGTTTAGTGCCTAGAGCTGGATTCTGGAGCATCCAAATTAGATACTCAAGCATGTTCAACAGCTCAAAGCTGCCTATAACTTCAGCTCCAGGGAAGCTGACACCCTCTTCTGGCCTCTGTGGGCATTTGCACATATATAGTGCATACATGTGCACATATAAATCCTAAAATAACCCACCAGACTCCAACAACAACAAAAGATAGAAATCCAACAATATATTAGCCAGCCAGGCACTGTGGTTTTGGTCAAATCTGCTATTCCTGTACTTGGAAGCCTGAGGCAGGAGAACCACTTAAGTTTGAAAAGTTGAGGCCAGGCTGTGTGGTTATAAACTTGACTAAAATAAATAATAATCCTTATAAATTAGCTTAGTGAGAAACTTCCCCGCTCTGATGATCTGATCAACTTCTTCACCCTCCACTTTCCATATGTAACCTTCTGGTCTGTTTATAGCAAGAACTGCTCTTGGTGTGTCATGTTTTCCATTCAGTAAACAACATCCAGGCGTCTGCTATGGATCCCTAGCAATCCTGAGAATTTGGAGCGAAGTTCTCTCTTTCCTCTACTTCCAAAGTACTGGATTTGTGTTCAGAGCCACACTGGACTTTGTGGACACAGGTGAACACGTGGGTGGAGACTATTGACTATCCATCCTGTGGTAAGTGCTCTATACCTTCCTTAATAATTTTCCATACTATTCCTAGCATCATTTCTGCCTGTTGTATGGCGTACTATAGACTATGCTGTATGTGTACTATATACTGCTGTTTACTGCATAGTTTTCATCTGTGTGGTCCCATAGTGCCCAGCACAATGTAGAATATAGTACAGGTCTTTGCCTTTTTCAGAAGCCATTCAACCTTTTAAATGCTTATTTCGAGACATGTGCATGAATAACAGTAATCTTCTGGTCAGCGCGGGCAACCTCTACCTTCTTCCCTAACCTCAAGCCACACGTCCACTATTAATTCCGTCTAAGACTCGCTCCAAATCAGGTAACAGCAGCAATCTCACCCATAATAGCATTTTGGTCAGCTGCAACGCAAACCTCTCAAAATCTGTTAAGGCCCAATCCCATTCCCCTGTTTATTAGTGCACCTCTCTACACTCATCCCAGCTAAACTGCTTCTTCGTCTTCCATCCAAGGCAGCAGCCTGTTGATAGAGGTGTTTCTGAAGCACACGTCTATGGTTTGACAGAAGTCTCTTTGATTTTTTTACTTGGGTGGTAACAGGAAAAGGAAACCAAATATCTTCAGCTATGGGGAAAAGGGGCCTCCAGGAGGCTGTCCCTGGCCCTGGGTCTCCATGGAGAAGCCACAGGTGCTAATGGAGGTTTGACTGCCTACGCAGTTTGTGTTCTTTTCTCCCTGAAGCTCCCGGAGATTCTCCCGCCTACCCTGGGCCTCTTCAGCTCTCCCGCAGCGTGGACCCAGCAGGCAGTCGTCCCTCAACAAGGGGGCGGGGATCCCGCTTAGCCCGCGCCCGCAGTGCCTTCTCTGTGGGGCTCCCCTCCCCCACCACAGAGTCCCGACCGCCGTGAGCCGCGCGTGGTCACCGACCCCTCCCCGCTGGCCCGGCTGTGCAGAGCGGGCGGGCTAGGGGTGGCGCTGGCTGGGCGTGGGCAGGCGCCGGAGGAGGTCTGCTAGGACCGGCCTGGCCTGATCGGCCCGGGGCTGCATCCCTGTGCACTCGCGGCGGGAAGGTGGCCCCAACACCCGGGGCGCTGGCCCCGTGCCTTGGGACCCGCGGTGGGCCAGCCTGTACCTGGGCTTGAAGTCGCGATTGTAAATCATCCGCAGCCGCTCGCGATCTGTCTCCAGGTCCAGTCCACGTTCGGCCAGGAAACTCTCGAAGCTCTGGCCGGTCTCCCGGAGCTTTCGGCAGCTGAACTTACTGGGCATCGCGGCGGCGGCTGCGGCCCAGGCAGGAGGGTCCGTGGAAATGAAACTGAAAGTCGCTGCCGCTATTTAGAGTTGGCTGGTCTGGGGTGAGGTGCAAGGGGGAAAAGCCCCCTACCTCTGACGTCTGCTCCGGGCAGCTACCTTCTCCCCGCCTGCCTCCCCTCCTCCGTCCTTCTCCTACCTGAGCCTTCCTTTCGGTCTCTTCGTCCTATCCCCTCCCCCTCTTCGCATTAACTCTTTCCTAAGGAGTCTGACCCCTCCCTCAGGGCCCTCCCCTTACCCCAAGCTCCCTCCCCTGGCTGCGAGCCAGGATCCGAACGTGGCTATCGCCTGGGGCCCCCTAAACAGCCTGGAGGACCTTGTAGCCTCTGCTAGGGCTACTCCCACGCCCACTCTCCAGAGCCTCGGGACTTAGAAAAGCTGCAGAGCAAAGGGCAGGGCCTGGGACATGGGTCGGCTGCAGCTGGACTGGGGCCGCTTGTCCAGCACCTCCCCCAGACTGCCAGGGACATAAACCAGTACGGAAGTGAGCGGCACGCCCCCTCCTCCATTTCCCAGCTCTGGCTTTCCAACACAGAGGAAGGCAGAAGTCAAAGTTGGGGGTTGGAGGGAGAGCAAGTGTCTCTAGATAAAGGGGTATGCGTGTGGGAGAGCGCGACAAGAGCTTCTGCCAAGACCCAGTCCTTCCTTTTCTGGGCCACACAGGCTTCACAATACTTCAAGGTTGGAGATTCTTGTCCTTGAGCTATGTATTTGGGCACTTAATTACACTCGGTCTGTGTTACTCTTCACTACTTATTAGCAGTAAGTCATGATTGCCCAGCCGTCAAAAAAACAAAAAAAAAAACAACCAAAAACAAAAACAAACCCCGTTAGCACCCCGAGAGCAAGGCATTTAGGCAATAAATGGTTAACAGCGGCAACAACAGTACCAGGAAAAGGAGAAATAGACCAATATGCGTAGACAAATTAAGGGGTGGGGCTACAAAAAAATCCCACACATACTACAATGAGAAAGACTGAATGTACCAGAGTTCCACATGTATCAAAGTTATTTTTCTCCAAAGTGGTTTCTCACAGGCGGCCACACAGTCTAACCCAGGGTAGAGAATGACCTGAATGGGGTCAAGCTCCCCCTTGGTTAAATAACTATCTACTCGTAAGCCAACCACCAAGAAGGCCAGGAATAACAGGCTTTAGCAACAGGAGACCCCATGTGATCAGGAATGGAGATCATAGGGATGGGGAAATGGAGCACAGGAAAATGGAGTCCTAGAAATTGATTATTGAACTAGAGAGAATTGGGAGTAGCCCGATGTTTACCACCTCCAGACCTCGCCATCCCCTTTATTTGATGAAGCCCCAGAGAAGATATATAATAGGCTTCTAAAATCCGCTGTTGCAAGTGGGGCACAGCGGCCCAAGCCTGTAATCCCACGACTTGGGAGTCTGAGGCAGGGCTACTACTTTGGGTTACACAGTAGGATGCGCTCAAAAACAAAACTGCTGTTCTTTACCGTTTCAAAATCCCACAAGTATACCTGTGATGAGCACAATAAAAATGCCTTTTAGATATACAGAAATAGCGGTTAGGAATCTCAAAGCACCCAAGACTACACCTGATAACCAGAATCCAATGACATAATTTAATCAAGATAACCAGACATGTGATTAACTAGAACACTCCATGGTTCTTGAGCTATTTCTATAAAAAAAAAAAAAGGGTGGTTTGTGTGTGTTCATCACACTACCACACGTTAACAATTCTGACCAGCAAATCTGGCCACCTGAGGACCTCAGCCCTTCTATGGATCATCTCCTGAACATTCTCAAAACACAGATGGTTGTCTATGTAAAAACTTGGTATGCTCTGGATGGCGAGTGGCTTTGGTTACAATGTGACCTCTCTACATGTCTTCTAGAAGGCTCTATTTTGAAAGTTACTGTTTTGATACATACAGTTCTAGATGTCTAGAATGGCTGCCCCCTCTCAAAATCAGCTCTGAAATTTCCTGGAGCTTTCATTACATCCTTCTTTTAAGAACTGGGCTTCCAAGATTGTAGTGAGTCTGAACAGCAGCAGCAGCAGCAGCAGCAGCAGCCTGAAAGTTACTGTTAGCTAACTGTATGTGAAATAAATCCCCAGCTTCTCAAGGGGAATTTTTTTTTTTTTTTTTTGAGACAGGGTTTCTTTATCTAACAGCCTTGGCTGTCCTGGCACTCACTTTGTAAACCAGGCTGGCCTGGAACTCAAAAGATGAGCCTGCCTCTGCCTCTGGAGTGCTGGGGCTAAAGGTGTACACCACCTCACTCAGCTATTTTCTTAATATTTTCTTATTGGGTTGTATAAATCATCACTTGAATAGTCTCTAACCTTTGTATTCAAATTAGACTATACTACACAAAGAACTAAAAAGAACTCTGAAACTAAATTATTGAAATTGGTTGGTCTACCGCATACCAAGGGAAAAGCCATACCAGCTACAGTCGGACTTTTATTTGCAAATTTATCTACTCATTAACATTTATTTGTAATTCAAGTCCACTCTCATGGTACTTTCGGCTTTTAAGGAAATCCTGTGTCCCCATCTCCAGTTCAGGCAGAGAGCACTGTGATACTCTGCCTCCTTGCTTCAACCGTCACCATCAAGTGCTCTCACGATCTATTTAATGCTATCTATTTAATTGCCTTTTTGTGCTTTTTGGTGATTTTACAGCTTAAACATGGCTCCCATGGGTGGTGTACTGAAATGTGGTCTAATACTCTGAAGTATAGAAAGCTTTACAAAGAAAGTTCTTGTTTCATAGCTTCATTCATGAACAGCAGGAGGAATGTTAAGAGACTGTCTCAAAACAGTAACGTTTCATTTACTAATTCAATGTCCACAGTGACTTTATATGCAACAGAATTACCCCATGGGTGAGTTGTATATCTTTATGCATAATTCTTCCTCCCAACGCCCTGGCCTGGGAGCTGCAGTGATGTTCCTGCCCTGGGACTGCATGTATGCACCATTACCGGAAGCCTCAGAATGTTTTTTGATATCTTGGGTATAAAGAGGTATATAATTGGTTTCTATCCTTAGAACCAATGTACTTCTATTAGACACCATCTATTTAAAGGTGGATTTATCTCAACCACTATAAGACCACCCAGTTTTATTCTGTATTTACTAACCTATCTTTTTTTGCTTTTCACGGGGGTAGGTGGAAGGGTTGTTTAAAAACAAGAAGCTGGTCATGGATACCGTATCAATTTAAATGAGTCTAGCATTAAAATTTCACATTCTAAAACAGATGAGGTACTAGAATTAAGCAACACAGGGACAACTGGAGATTCAGATGACCAAGAACCAATGTTCAACAGTGTCCCTAAAGCCCCAAATATGAGAGGCTGCACAGAAACTCCTGATCTGTCTCGGACTCCACAGGCTGACTTCTATAGCATGAGAAAATGGACAGAATGAAGCAGCTACTCACTCTGCTGGAAAGCCAGATTCTTCTGAGGACCTGGCAAGGTGTCGATTTCCTCTTGTTTATGCAAATAATCCAGAACTATGCAGGTATAGAGGTCAGAAGGTGACTTTTAGGAGTTGGTTCTTTTCTTCTATCATGTGGGTCTGACTCAAGCCTATGAGCTTGATAGCAGGCACCCAGACCTAAGCCATTTTACCACCTTGCCAACTCCCAACCTAGAACTTCAGATTCACTATTCTTCTGTTTTCTTGGAATAAGGAAATCAACGGATAGAATTTGGAAAAGGCCAATAGAAGGAATGAGTTAAAGGCAAGAATACTGTGATTTTTACAAGAATGACATATGTTAAATATTCCCCCAAAGCAGGGAATCTCAGTTGGTGCTGGATGGTAAACCAAGGAAATTCCGTTTCTGTTGCAAATCAAGATAACAAACAAACCCTTTTCTACAGGTTATCAGTAGCTAAACCAGACTTGGAGGAGAGAAAAACATTTCAGGTTAAGCCATTGTGAACCAGCACTCAGGCTTAAGCTGGAGGAATCCTTCCAGTTTTACCTCCTGCCTAGTGACTGCACTCAGTCAGGCCTGCTCTTTCATAACCAGGCTCTTTTCTACATTGGTGGAAATCCCAAACAAATCTTTCGAGTCACTGGCAGCTTTTGGGTGGACAGTGGTAAAATTTAAAATTTTGTTTCTTTTTAGTAAAACCCTGAGCATTTATTTTTATTTTTGTTTTTTTGATACAAGGTTTATTTGTGTAGACCTAGCTTTCCTGGAACTCAAGTTTAGAATAGGCTGGCTTTGAACTCAGAAATCATCCTGTTTCTTAGTCTGAGTGATGGAGTTAAAGGTGTGTGCCACCATGTCCAGTCTCTCTAGTGTTTATTTTTAAAAATGTATTTGTGTATGCACATGTTTGACTGCTCAGAGGCTGCCCCTAAAGCTCCAGTTACAGGTGGTTGTGTCCCACCTCACATGGGTTGTCTGCAAGAACAGTATTTACTCCTAACAGCCGAGTACTCTCTCTAGCTTCCCTCTAGCACCCACCCCCACTTGTTCTTTTCTTGGAAATGAGGCCTCACACTGTAGTTCAGACTGCTCTGAAACTCACTGTGTAGCCCTGTCTGGCTTCAAACTCACAGCAATACTCCTGCCTCAGCCTAAGAGACTATTCACACCTAAAAATGAGCTGTTCTTTACAAGTCTTTGCATATTTACTGAGTCCATACTAGTCCAAAGTAGGATACAATTTCAGAAACCTTGAAGATTCTCAACAAATAGATTCATTATAGTTGAATATCTTACCTTGAGAGCAAAGGTTGATAGAAGGACAGAAAGGACAGACACAATTTTAGAACAAAACAGGTGTATTTCTATTGGACTGCCTGGTACAGAAGACAGTGT